TCATCCAGGTGCTCAAATTTTGAGATACGAGACCCTGATGCTGTCTCTGGACAGGAAACCAGCTGGAAACAGCTCTGCCATCCCACAGACCCATCTGTGCTCAAGGTTTCTGATATGAGACCCTGATGCTGTCTCTGGACAGGAAACCTGCTGGAAGCCACTCTGCCATCCCACAGACTCATCTGTGCTCGAGGTTTGAGATACAAGACCCTGATGCTGTCTCTGGAACCTGCTGGAAACAGCTCTGCCATCCCACAGACCCATCCAGGTACCCAAGGTTTGAGATACAAGACCCTGAAGCTGTCTCTAGAACCTGCTGGAAACCTGCTCTGGTGTCCCACAGACCCATCCAGCTGCTCAAGGTTTGAGATACGAGACCCTGAAGCTGCAAAAAGTTCCCTGACGAGGGCCCTGAGGGGCTCTGAGGTGTCCCAGGGGTCCGGGGCAGGGACAGGATGGAGCCCCTTGAGGGATTCAATCCCCACGGGATTTCAATTCAGCCTCGCTGATTTACTCCTGTCTCTGCCTCAGAGAAAACGGGGAAAATCTTGGCATTTTGAGTGATTCAAATCGCTCACCCAGCTCTTCCTCACCCCCACTAAATTCCCACCCAGGGGCCACCAAGAAATCCCACCAGGAACCATTCACTGACCACTAAATTCCCACTCAGAGGCCACCAAGAAATCCCAGCAGGAACTATTTCCTGACCACTAAATTCCCACTCAGAGGCCACCCAGAAATCCCACCAGGAATCATCTACTGACCACTAAATTCCCAACCCAGGGGCCACCAAGAAATCCCACCAGGAACCATTTCCTGACCACTGAATTCCCACCAAGGAATCCCAGCAGGAACCATTCACTGACCACTAAATTCCCACCCAGAAATCCCAGCAGGAACCATTTACTGACCACTAAATTCCCAACCCAGGGGCCACCCAGAAATCCCAGCAGGAACCACAAAATTTCCACCCAGAGGCCACCAAGAAATCCCACCAGGAACCATCTACTGACCACTAAATTCCCACCCAGAGGCACCACTAAATTCCCAACCCAGAGGCCACCCAGAAATCCCACCAAGAACCATTTCCTGACCACTAAATTCCCACCCAGAAATCCCACCAGGAACCACTAAATTCCCACCCAGAGGCCACCAAGAAATCCCACCAGGAACCATCTACTGACCACTAAATTCCCAACCCAGAAATCCCAGCAGGAACCATCTACTGACCACTAAACTCCCACCAAGAAATCCCACCAGGAATCATCTACTGACCACTAAATTCCCACCCAGAAATCCCAGCAGGAAGCATTCACTGACCACTAAATTCCCACCAAGAACCACTAAATTTCCACCCAGAAATCCCACCAGGAACCACTAAATTTCCACCCAGAGGCCACCAAGAAATCCCACCAGGAACCATCTACTGACCACTAAACTCCCACCAAGAAATCCCAGCAGGAACCATTCACTGACCACTAAATTCCCAACCCAGAGGCCACCAAGAAATCCCACCAGGAACCATCTACTGACCACTAAATTCCCACCCAGAGGCCACCCAGAAATCCCAGCAGGAACCATCTACTGACCACTAAATTCCCACCCAGAAATCCCAGCAGGAACCATTCACTGACCACTAAATTCCCACCCAGAAATCCCAGCAGGAACCATCTACTGACCACTAAATTCCCAACCCAGGGGCCACCAAGAAATCCCACCAGGAATCATCTACTGACCACTAAATTCCCACCCAGAAATCCCACCAGGAACCATTTACTGACCACTAAATTCCCACCCAGAAATCCCAGCAGGAACCATTCACTGACCACTAAATTCCCACCAAGAAATCCCACCAGGAACCACTAAATTTCCACCCAGAAATCCCACCAGGAACCATCTACTGACCACTAAATTCCCAACCCAGGGGCCACCAAGAAATCCCAGCAGGAACCATTTACTGACCACTAAGTTTCCGATGACCATGACCATCATGAAGACAATCAAGCACATGGCCTGGCCCGCCACTTCCATACAATCCCACATGGTCTCAATCCACTCCCCACACAACACACGGAAGACAATAAGGAAGGAGTGGAAGAAATCGTGCATGTGCCAGCGGGGTAGCTCACACTCCGGATTGATCTTGCAGACACACTCCTTGTAGCTTTTGCCGAAGAGCTGCATCCCCACCACGGCGAAGATGAACACGATGATGGCCAGCACCAAGGTCAAATTCCCCAAGGCACCCACTGAGTTACCAATGATTTTTATCAGCATGTTCAGAGTGGGCCAGGATTTGGCCAGTTTGAAGACTCTCAGCTGGAAAAAAAAAAAATCAAAAAAAAAAGGAGCGTAAAAAATCTTAAACAAAGAGGGAAATGAAGTAGAATTTCCTAAAAAAAATAAAGCAGAATTTCCTAAAAAAAAAATATATAGTAGAATTTTCTAAAAAAGCAGAATTTCCTAAAAAATAGAGTAGAATTTTCTAAAGAATAGAGCAGAATTTCCTAAAAAATAAAGTAGAATTTCCTAAAAAAATAAAGTAGAATTTCCTAAAAAAATAAAGCAGAATTTCCTAAAAAAATAAAGTAGAATTTCCTAAAAAAATAAAGTAGAATTTCCTAAAAAATAAAGCAGAATTTCCTAAAAAATAAAGCAGAATTTCCTAAAAAATAAATCAGAATTTCCTAAAAAAATAAAGCAGAATTTCCTAAAAAAATAAATCAGAATTTCCTAAACAACAACCATCTTGTATTTTATATAAAAAATTTGGGCTGGAGTGTTTTGTGCTTTGGTTATTCCCCACACCCTGATCTCCCCTCCCAAAGGAAAACGCAACAGGAAAGAAGAGACCACAAAAAAAAAAAAAATGGCACAACTTGATCTCAGTCCCACCCAAACCCAGATTAAAATGGCTCTTCCCTCGTCCTACAAAAACGGGAAAAAATTCCTTATGTGAGGGGAAAGGCTGGAATTGCGTCAGGGTAGGGAGGGGGTGGATATTGGGGGAAAAAAATTCTGGTTGGGAACCACCCCAGAGCTCAAAGGACATTACGAAAATGTCCAAAAAAAAAGGGTGGGATTGCTGAGGTTCCCTCCCAGCTCAGGACATTCCCTGGATCTCTGAGCTCCACCATAACAAGGTTGGGAAAGAGCTGGAATGTGGAATACCAATCGGAAAGATCGCAGCACGGAGAGCCCTTCCACATCCGCCAGACTCAGCTCCATCAAACTGAGGGAGACAATAAACCCATCAAAGATGTTCCAGCCTTCTTGAAAATAATAGTATGGATCCATGGCAATGAGCTTGAGGAACATCTCTGCTGTGAAAATCCCAGTGAAAACCTGGAGAGGGGAGGAGAGACAGACAAAGAACAGAAAAAAAAAAAGCAAATTTTTTGGCTTATTCTCTGATCTTCAATCGATTCCAAACGCGAGCCCACATCCACAATCCAGGAATCCCAGCAGGAGAAGGTTTGTGGGGAGTGTTTGGAGCTGCTCCCTTACCAGGTTTCCCACGGAGAGCACGTGCTCGAACTCGGGGGTCATGGGGTGGTGCTCCATGGCCATGAACAACGTGTTCAGCACGATGCAGATGGTGATGGCCAGGTCAACGAAAGGATCCATGACAATTAAATTCACAATCTCCTTCAGCTTCATCCAGTAGGGGTGGCACTCCCAGATCAGGAAGGTGTTGGCGAATTTGTACCAGCAAGGGGGACACTTCCTCTGGGACTCCTCCAGCTCTGCAGGTACAGAACAAAACTGAGCTCAGGATTCATCTCTGAGGATGAAGAATTACAAAACTTTGGGAAAATGGCCACGGAGGTGACACGAGAGAAGAGCTGGGGCGGGTTGGACATCAGGAAGAAATTCTTTGTGGGAAGGGTGGTCAAACCTCCCTGCCCAGCGAGGTTTGGAGTGGCCATCCCTGGGAAAATCCAAGGAATTTCCAGCTCTGGGCCGGGTGACAGCGTGGGGATCACTCAGAGGTTAAACCCCGTGACCTTGGAGCTCTTGGAGCCTCGGGGATTTTGGGATTTCACGATTTTACCGAGCTCTGTGACTTCTTTGTCCCCGCACAACATCCAGGCGACACCTGCAGCGGGTCACCGCGGCTCCACCCCTGAGCCTCAGCCCCACCAGGATGATTCAACGCTAATTATTCCAAACCAAGGGCTAAATTTAACTCGGAACTGATCAAGGTAAAACAGCTCAAAACCCAAGTTACAGATCCCAAACTGCCTCTGCTGCCGGTTTTTAAATAACTGAGATGAATCCTGCGCTCAACACAGACACGGTCTAAAAGAGGAAAGAGATGACATAATGCTGCGAAGGATTTTCATCAGGAATAACCTGATTAAGACTAACTACATCCATTTCCACAAACCAAACACAGAAATTTTTTAATTTTTAATATTTTTTTTCCCACCCCACCGCCTCACCTCGAGCGTTTAAGGGATAAAGAACCAAACACAAAGGAGGAGTTTGAGGTTGGGGCTGTGCAGCCCTCACCTCTCTTTTTTTTTTTATGGGGAGGGAAAGGACCGCTCTCTTTCCCATTGGTTCTCTGGTTGCTTGGGATTTAGTTGCCTTGGAATTTCTCAAGTTAAAGACGAGGCCCGTGGCGCTGGAGCCCGTGGGCGTTTGTGCGGGAGGGCAGCCCCGCTCTGTTTCTAAGTATATTTCGTTTTCCTACAGTTTTATTGCAGGAGACAGCGGGAACTGGAGCTCATCGACCGCCCGTGGCTGCTGCTCATCAGTTCTGCGTTGGGAAATCTCATCCCCCTGAGCGCTGTCCCTTCCAGAATTCCCAAGGGATCCCGTCTCCTGCGGCAGCGCTCGGTGCAGCTCCGGCGCTCCTCTCCCACGGTGGGGATTCCTCCAGGCCTTGGGAGATGACAGAACCCCCTGAGCTCCTCTCAGCTCCTCACTGCCTTCTCCTTAGCGTAAAGTTACAACTCCTTGTTGCCTTCGGCTCTGTCTCTACGCAATTCTGATGTAAAAACCCAAGTTAGATGAAGTCTAATGAGTATTGGTTAATAAAGATCGAAAGGAAGCGGATTTTGGCAAAGCCATGCATGGGCATGTGCTGCTCTAAAGCAGGGGGAGCCGGATTCCACCGGACCAGGTCACTCCAAGCCTTGCCCAACCTGACCCTGGACACTTCCAGGAACCAGGAAATTCCTCTGGACACTTCCAGGAACCGGGAAATTCCTCTGGAGACTTCCAGGAACCGGGAAATTCCTCTGGACACTTCCAGGAATGGGGAAATTCCTCTGGAGACTTCCAGGAACCGGGAAATTCCTCTGGACACTTCCAGGAACAGGGAAATTCCTCTGGACACTTCCAGGAACCGGGAAATTCCCCTGGAGACTTCCAGGAACCAGGAAATTCCTCTGGAGACTTCCAGAAATGGGGAAATTCCTCTGGACACTTCCAGGAACTGGGAAATTCCTCTGGAGACTTCCGGGAATGGGAAATTCCTCTGGGCACTTCCAGGATCGGGACAATTCCTCTGGACACTTCCAGGAACCGGGAAATTCCTCTGGACACTTCCAGGAACCGGGAAATTCCTCTGGACACTTCCAGGAACTGGGAAATTCCTCTGGACACTTCCAGGAACCGGGAAATTCCTCTGGACACTTCCAGGAATGGGGAAATTCCTCTGGAGACTTCCAGGAACCGGGAAATTCCTCTGGACACTTCCAGGAATGAGGAAATTCCTCTGGACACTTCCAGGAACTGGGAAATTCCTCTGGAGACTTCCAGGAACGGGGAAATTCCTCTGGAGACTTCCAGGAACAGGGAAATTCCTCTGGACACTTCCAGGAACCGGGAAATTCCTCTGGACACTTCCAGGATCGGGGAAATTCCTCTGGACACTTCCAGGAACGGGGAAATTCCTCTGGGCACTTCCAGGATCGAGACAATTCCTCTGGAGACTTCCAGGAACCGGGAAATTCCCCTGGGTAACCCAGGGAAGAATTCCTCCCCAACATCCCATCCATCCCTTCCCTCTGGCCGTGGGAAGCCATTCCCTGTGTCCCATCCCTTTATCCCAAGTCCATCTCCAGCTCTCCTGGAGCCCCTCCAGGCACAGGAAGGGGCTCAGGGGTCTCCCTGGAGCCCCAAACCACACCTACCCTCAACGAGGGTGTTGGTCAGCCCGGTCATGACGCTGTTGGTGCGATCCTTCCTTCCGTAGGACGCGTTCACCTGATCCATGGAGACCAAGAGAGACCCGCCAGGCTTCTTCCTGATTTCGATTTCGGTGGTGCCCTGGAAAAATGCAGGTGGTGATTAACTCCAGTCTTCTCTCTGACACGCTCCTGGCCCAGGGCCTGCATTTCCTGGGCTCGCCAAACCCAAATTCCTTCCTAAACCCCCAAATTTTCCAACATTTTAACACCTCTCACCATCACCTGCAGCAGGGGCTGGACAGAGCTAAAGGAATTAAACAACAAAGCAGAGATTTACTCAAAAAAAACCTCCCAAAGACTCACCTTGCTCAGAGCTGTGACCTCACCCAACATCACGAATTTCACACTTTTATAAATTTCGGTTCATTAACGTTCGGGAGTTTCAATATCACACTCTGGGGACCCACCTCGGGCAGGATGCGACCCCCGGGCATGCTGGAGGGCGGCCCGCCGATGAGCGAGACGACGCCGTTGCAGTCCACGGTGCTGTTCCTCTTGACGCTGCGGCGCAGCGTGGGGAAGATGCGCGAGGAGCGGCTGCCCTGGCTGTAGCCGCTGTAGCCGCTGTAGCTGCTGCGCCGGTCGCGGCCGCGGATGGGGATGAAGAGCGAGTCCCTCCTGCCCTCGCTCTC